AGAAACGTCACACAGAAGCTCGCTATATATTTCTGGGATTTCCTCTGCTACATACAGACTTTTGAAATTTAGGACTGAAATAAAATTTGTGACATACTTTACCTGAGAAAGGCCGCACCATAGCTCAAGCGGTTAGTCGCTGGCTTCCCACTGCGGCAACCCGGGTTTGATCCCGTGTCTGGTCAGGTAGGATTTGTGGATCGGGTTTTCTCTGAGTACTTTGGTTTCCTCTCCCCTCCCCAAATTCTCCATCATTATAATCACCCGGGCCTGGCTACAATAGGCCAGTCAGTGGCCACTGTGCCGAGTGGACCCAGTTGGACTCCACCCTCCACCAAGCGAATTAATTATTACCTGAGAAAAGCAGACACCATTTTTAGAGACATATGCTAACAGTCCAGACTTTGTGTCATGTACTAGAAGACACCACAGTCAGTTACTTCACTTAACCTGAAGAAACAAAAGCNATCCACCTTCAAACAGGTTTTGATCGACTTTTTGGTGTTAAAACTGCCAGTGATCTACCACCCCCTCCTATTGTCGTACCTCGCTTTAAGCAAAAATATTGGTAAAAACAACATGACACATGATGTTTGTTGCAAAAGCAATATACATTGAAAGTACAGACTACTTTAACACGTATTTTCCCTTCAAAATCTGAATATAATCATATATATTACAAGTAAATTTATACATGCTTTTCAAAAATAATTTCCTTATAGCCCTATGATGACCAAAAATCATCCCGCGATCGACGCGTTTGACATGCCTGCTGTAGACCATATATTCATTGCAATGAATCGTGGCACTGCTGCCTTGCCAGTCACTAAGGTTTCCTCCATTTCACCTGACATAAAACCACATAGAAAAACAGTCAATCTTTCTTTGCACAGTTTTCCTCCCAAACATTTTTCACCTTTCAGACATAGCAATTTATTCGGAATTGCGCGGAAGAACAGTCCAGTCTCATCACCATTCGCTATGTTTTCAGGTTCATATCCCTCGATTATGGATGGCAATTTAGCTTCCCACTCCTCAGTGATCTCACTATTTACATCACTTGATTCATCACAAAGTTCATTAAAAAATATCTGATGTCTTTTGTGAAAACTCTCCAACCATCCGTTAGATGCTTTGAATTCAGTCTTTCCCAGTTTTTCAGCGACTTTTTTAGCATATTCCTGTACCATAGGACAGTGTTCCACAACCAGTGTGCCGTCACAATGTGAAAGGTGTGACGCAAACTTTAACCTATTGTAAGAAATTAATTTCCAAATTTTATTCATTTTATTTTATCCGTTACCTTGTTCATATGCTTGTATTTTATTCTCAGCCACTGTACTGATTAAATAAGATGATGCTTGTCTATTCTTTATTACTAATTACTATTACTAAATTATCTACTCACAGTTGTTGTTATATCATTGTTTTCATTACTGATTTATTTTTATTTTTCTCGCATCTACGCAGCTGCTTTGATATACTTGCCGCATGTTCTGTATAGGTTCTTTTCCCTAAAACTTGCAGGGATTAGCAAGGGTTTTCCTATATTTTATTGACATGTCCAGTGACATTGAAGCCATTATGAAGGAGAAAATCAACAGCAGTCAGAAGTTACCGCTTCACATCAATGAGTCCACCGCTGTTAGCAGCCACGTACAACTTCTTGCTTACATTCGATACATCGATGGAGATGTAATTGCAACAAATTTCTTTTTTTTGCAAAGAACTTCCCGAGCGAGCCACCGGTGTTTCGGTATTTCGTGTCACTAATGAATATGAGTTACATAATGAACTAAAATGGAAGGATTGCATTAGTGTTTGTACAGACGGAGCCGCTTCTATGACAGGCCATGTTGAAGGATTTGTAGCTAAAGTACGCAAAATAAATCCTAACATACGATGCGAACATTGTCTCATTTGCCACGAAGCCATTGTTGCCAAGTCTTTGCCCTCTTCTCTGAAAGTTGTGCTGGACGAAGTAGTAAAAGTCATGAACCTCATCAAATCACGGCTTTTTCCGTTTTGTGCCAGGAAATGGAATCAGAACACACTACACTCCTACCACATACAGAAGTCGCGAATATTTGAACTTAATGAGGAGGTACGTGCATTTTTTACTGTTGAGGGACATGAGTACGCGGATTTATTTGCAGATGATGAATGGGTATGTAAGTTGGCATATTTTTCCGATATATTCGTACACTTGAATGAGCTGAACAGAAAGATGCAAGGTAGGAACAAAAATATTCTAACTAATATAGATAAGATACAAGGATTTTTATATAAGCTGAATTTGTGGCTACAGAGAATTACAGATGGGTCGTTTGAGATGTTCCCGACTGTATGGCCACTTGCTGACGGCAATAAAGTGGTGATGGACACAATTAAAGAACATTTAGAAATGCTGCAGCAGAAATTCAATAAGTATTTTGGAGACAGTGTACAAGATTTCGACTGGGTTCGTGATCCATTCATTGCGAATTCAGAACATCTTCCAATTAATATACCTGAGGAACTCTCAGATTTAAAAGCAGACAGAACATTGAAACTAACACTTCTCGAAGTGCCTTTGTATACGTTTGGTTGGCAGTAAGAAGTGAATACCCGGCTATCTCCGAGATGGCAGTTAATGTGTTATTGCCATTTTCAACTACATATTTGTGTGAACTGGACTTCTCGACATTAACTGAAATTAAGACATCAAAGAGGGAACGGCTCAAATACATCTATGAAGAAATGAGACTTGCGTTGTCAACGATTCCATCACGGATCAGTCACCTGTGTGCAGCTATGCAGGCGCAAGTATCACATTGAAGGCATGAATAGAATTACTGTATTTACTTTAATAGTAATAGAAATGCATTTTCTACACTCTACAGTGAATTAAAGTTCATTAATTGTTAATAAACGCACGAGTCAGTTCCTGTTTAATGATAAAAAAATAACAATATAATAATATTATAGTAATAAGTTGATCACGTTACGTATTTATATTAATTGTCTGATATCATGCGTTTTTGAGGGGGATAACATTTTGGTGTGCCGTGTTGAGTCATGGATACTTCATGGTGTGCCACAAGTAGAAAGAGGTTGCAGAACACTGCCATAGGACCTGACAACCGGTGATTTTTCGCCCTGACACTGACAAACCACTCCCACACTATTTCATTAACATCTTCATTTGCAGTTTTCTTAAGTTCTCTTTATATTTTTCCATTAGCACAAGTTTCCCACCGCTTCAAAATTTCCGTTTTCTTCTTTAGAATCTCATACACTTGGGGTTTACCGATGTTAAACATCTTCATGATCTGCTTAACAGACAATTTATCTTGCTCACTCGCATGAATCACTTTTAATCTTGTTTTAAGATCAAGCACAACTCTTGTCTTTGTAGCCATGATGACAGCTGCTAGACTAAAGTAAAACTGTAGGCATAGAGCCCTTACTGAATACAATTTCCAGAAGGGGAAAACAATTCTGTTGAATCTCAGTGTAGGTAGTGCAGAACCGTTAGAAGCTTATTTTAAAGAGTTAGGGAAAACAAAATTCTGTAGAATGTATAGGATGCCTAAAATTATTCTATATGATGCATTCCGGAAGACTGGAAATTTTCCATATAAAGGCTTATTTTGATTTCCATTGTCAGTGTTAGACAGTTTCCGTTTAATACAAGTTATTTAACATCTTTTTCAGCCCCAAAGTCAAGGGACCTGAAAATACAGGGCTTCTATAAATGATTCATTCGTTTTTAAAATGCTATATTTTCCAAAGCATTACACGTACAAATACGATTGATATATAAGAACAACCACAAACTCACCAAGTTTTTTTTGCACTCTACAAATGTTCTATGTGTGCCCCTTGGGTCACACGACACACATCCAGGCGGTAATCGAGCTCGTTCAGCACATTTTGTAGCATCCTGTCAATGGTCATCACTGCAGCAACGATGCTTTCCCTCAGCTCTACTAGTGCTCTTGGCAGTGGGGGTATGTAAACGTGATCCTTAATGTACCCCCAAAGGAGAAAGTCACAAGGCGTTAGATCAGATGATCTGGGGAGCCAAGTAAACTGAGCTACGTCATCCTCACCAACACCCAATCCAGCGATTCCGAAGTTCATTGTTTAGGTAGCAACGAACATTGATATTCCAATGAGGGGGTGCCCCGTCTTGTTGGAAGACAAAATCCCCGGAATCAGCAGCCAGTTGTGGAAACAACCATAACTGCAACATATCTAGGTAAGATGTACCAGTCACAGTTTTCTCACAAAAGAAAAACGGCCCATACAGCTTTGTCTGTGACATTGCACGGAAAACATTCACCTTTGGTGAATCTCTTTCAAGTGCTACAATTGCACGAGGATTTTCAGTGCCCCACAATCTCACATTGTGACGATTAACCATCCCAGATAAATGGAAAGTTGCTTCATCGCTGAATATCAACTTGTCGGCAAAATCTTCATCCTCCAATGCTTCCTGCATTGTGACGCAAGATTCCAGGTGCTTGTCATAATCTTCTGGTTTTAATTGTTGCAGGAGCTACAGCCGGTACGGTTTGAAATGTAACCGTCGTTGCAAATTCTTCCATACAGTTTGCTGTGGTAGTCCAAGTTCGTGGCTTGCTCGGACCGTTGATTTTTGTGGACTACACACAGAACTTTCCCTCACTCTCTCCACTGTTTCATCTGGCACATTTGGTCGACCGGTGCTTTTCAGATTACACAGCCAACTGCAAAATCCTTTGTTTACATGGCGGTTCTTTTCCGTACTCTCTTTTGAATACGCGTTGCACTGCTATAACAGAACAACATCTCACATATTCCAACAAACAAAAACTTTTCTTGCTTTGTCGCCATTTTGTAAAGGCACTGAACTCATGCTGCCAACTGGTGCACACAATACAAACTTCGTGAGTCTACGGTTCTTTTTATATATCAATCATATTAGTACGTATAATACTTTGGAAAATACAGCGTTTTAAAAACGAATGAATCATATATAGTAGCCCTGTATTTCCGTTTAATAAAGGGTTTGTTTAAGGCAGGTTTTACTGTACTTATTATCTACATAAATACTTTCGTTGGGAGTGTAAATTTACCTTGTGATATCTGTACAGAAAGAACTACAGGAACTTTTTACATTTTACTAGAATTCAACCTGACGGTAAATTAAGTTGATCTCAGTAAACTGCTACATGCAGTTTGAAGCTAGACAAGTATTGTCCCAGGCCACTAATATTGTGGGTGTTTGTTTGGTTTTGCAGCTCAGCAGCAACCTAAAAGTGGCAACATATTGTTTGTGCATGGAGAGACGCAGGGTCAGGACAGAGGTGGAACCGACTCAACTCGAGTCATCAATCCTGATGAGATTAACATTGAGTATGATGAAGATGATTAACATTGAGTATGATGAAGATGATGATAGTGAGTATACACTGTAAATTTAAAGTAAAAAAAAACAAAACAAACTCTGTGGTTTGAGTCTGCAAGCGAACTAAACCGACCAAGTGACTGCCGCCTGTCGGCGAAGTTAGTGCCAACTTTAGCGGATAGAGAGTTTCACGTGTTCAGTGCAGTGATCCCCACGGCCGTTGAACTCAGTTTTTTAGTCCGAAGCCACTATTTCCTTGAAATAGCTCCTCAGTTATCCTCACGAGGCTGAGTAGACCCCACTCCAGACCCACTTCTCAAAAAAATCTGGTAGCACCAGGAATTGAATCTGGGACCTCTGGCTCTGTAGGCAGGAATTCTGACCACTAGACCACAGAGAATTTCTAAAGATCATTTTTAGGATGTAGAATTTGCTTTCTTAACCCCTCAAGCGTGTGCGATGCACCATATGCGTCCACTCAGTTACATGCATCTAGCGTGCATTTATGCGGGGGTATTTAAATCCCTCCCGGTGCTTTATTTTCGCAAGCATTGAAGGTTTAGTGCAGACATTTACCTAAATATTTTTAAATAACAAAATCGCTATTTGAAAAATTCCAAAAAATTATATTATATTTACAGTTGTTTACAGTTCATTATTATAAATGTCTATATACATTTTGTCAAGCTATTTCTTTTTCCCAGCTCTCCATATCCAGTGTGTAGTGGTTGACCTTGGTGTGGTATTGCTCAAAACAAGGGTCTAGGCAGTGAGACGGTGTCCCTGGGCAGTTTTTACACCT